TACTCCCTGGTTTCGTGATATTAGTCGTGTCAGAGGATTTTGTTCTCATGGTGGATATCAGTCTACACACACAAACACTGATTTGCCACCCTCTTGGCTTGTCATTTTCCTCAACACACTGATCGCGCGGGTGACCGCGGTGCTTTTCAGCGCTCCCGGTTTGTTACAGGTTTGGCCTCATGGCTTAGTAGTGTCGGTTTTCAGCTTTAAAACATATTTTTTATGTCCTGGGTACGACGTTAAAATTGCATCCGGTTGCGGAGTTTTTGTACTCGGGAGAATGAGGTTACCCTTTGCCGCAACTACCTCCAGGTCACCCTTGGGCAAGGTGTAGCACCTGTGAGCCTTGGGTGCCAACTTCCCACATAACAAGTTCGGTTGACGTCAGTAAGGGCATACGGTCGTAAAACTCCTGCACAAATAGATCCGCACAGGTGGACAATTTTTCATGTAAATATGTAGATATTAGTTCCAGTTGTACTTAGCATTTGGCAGGGGGGATCGTAACCTCTTGTGGTGAGAACCAGTGTGACTGGCCTGCCAACGGGGTGCTAAGGATTTCATTGGAAAAGTTATCAGTTACATCCGTTAATGTAATTTCGTTTTACATACCCGTAAATCAAAAATCACAATAGTCTACAAATATTGTGTAAGCTATAATATAATGTGTACATATTTTAATACATACAGGTACACTCACATAAATACACACAAATTTGAAGAAATATTAATTAGAGAATTCATTATATATGTATAACCTGGACAAAGAAAATCATTATTTGTCAAACTTCATGTGGAAATCCTAATAAATTAGATTTAAAGTTCACAACTGGCGGTTTAGCAATATTGTCAACTTGTCCATGGTGGCTGAAGGATTTGAAAACAAAACGAAATGATTGAAAATATTGTATTCACTGACATTTATTTTTATGCACATGTATACCATATGGTCCATAGTATCTTTGACAACACTTTGAAATACAGACGAATAAAACAGCTGATTACATGTTACACCTTGCCCGTCTCTACGATTTTACGTGTTTTATTTATTTAAATTACATTGTTACGAAAATAAAACAATTGATTACAGCTAACGAAAATACCCATTGCTGACCTTATATATAGCATTCATTGTCGAACCTATCGGACAGGTGTATATGAATCGGTGGAGGCACTGATTGGACGGCATCTACGGTACGGCATGCGACCTGATTAATTGGACAGGCGTATATTAACTGGTATAGACACTGATTGGATTGTAGCTACGATGTGGCTCGCGACCCAGTTAAACGGGCAGGCGTATATTAATTGGCGAAAGCACTGACTGATTTGTAGCTACGATGTGGCATGCAACCTGATTAAACGGTGCTTAGCCACGCGGTAATCAGAACCCCACACAACAGACGTTTTGTCAGCATTATATTTTGGGCTAATCTGCACTGGCTCGGAAGGTTGTAAATGATTAGCTAGTTTGAATTTGCACAACAATACTGGCAATGAACGTGCATTCAACGCCACAAGTTTTTTTGTTTTTTTAGCCAATCAGAATTCATCTTCCGAGCCAGTGCAGATCAGCCGTATATTTTAGAACCTATTGACAATTGCCAATCCTAAACCAGGTGTGACTAATCTTGATTTAAATATTGCCAACATTATACAAAACCAAGGTGTCCAATCCTAAGTCAAGTGTGGCCAATCATAGATCAAACATGACCAAACAAGTACTAATCTTGGTGGACTTCCGGGCATTTTCACTGCCTGGCAACCAGCACTGTGAAAACTAAGTGAAACAAGATTACCCCTACATGTAATAAAACATATACTAGTACTGGTATATTTTTTTGAAGTGCTTTTGATTCTTATCGGCTTTACCATGTACATTATGACTCAAAGTTATGTGGAATTCGTGTTTGTTCATCATTTGTTAGCTACTGTGCAAAGTGTCAGAGGTCGTTTGATCAGATAAGATAAGATAATTTATAACCGACACATCTCTCGAGTGAGGTCACATGGATCAACCCATTATATGGAAGGGGTCATACTAGTATCCACCTTGGGAGATTCAAATTTATATGTCGCAGTCATTTTGGTGGGTCAACATTCAAGTTCACTAATTTAAAAATATAGAGTTGTCCGTTAACCTTTTAGCAACGTTCATCTGTTTTATATATAGGTGGTTTTTCAGGTTTGTTCGGATTTCCGTTCATTTTCTTAGCAGTTGGGACCGCGCCCAATCATAGTTTTGTAATGTTAGTTCCTCGTATCTACCGCAACCAATCATCAACTTGTATTTTTTATATGACACACATGATATATGAGCATCATACTTATTATTCTCGCATCGTCAGTGAAACAAACCAGTATACTGGTAACCGACAACGTTAACACACGTGCGCTTCATTCAAGTAGACCGGTAAGTAAAAGTTATTCCATTAAATTATCCGTATCGCTCAAGGCTGTACCTTTCTGTGTAGGAGATGGTTAAGTTGGACTGTTGTTTGTGTATGATTGGGTTTGACTGAAGACAGGATAATATCACTTTGTCGTAATAATATGATAGATATATAGCCACAGATATAGATATGTATCATCAACTCCATTACTCAAAATACTGTAAAACATGTTTTTTTAGCTAGCATGTTATTTTAGCTAATTTAGCTAATCTGTAATTTCACTAATTCAAGATGTTGCTAATTTAGAATAAAGTATATTCTCACAATGAGATTGATGGCACTTTAGCTAAATTAAGATTCAGTTAATTCATGCATGGAGTCAAATTCGCTAAAATGGCATGTAGCTATTTAAGCATGTTTTACAGTAAATGACATAACAAATATTTTGAGACAATCAATGTGTAATTATCCGTGTGAGTTTGTTTTAAAACGTGCGTGTCACCCTTTCGAACTCAGTGATGCACCTGCGTCACAAAAAAATACTCGCTATTGTTTAACTAAATAAAATTTTCCAAACTTATTCAAAACCCTACTTTAAAACAAAATCTTTGACAGTTTGGATTTTTGAAACTATGTTAGTTCATTTTGAAGTGGTTTACGAGTTTAGTGAGTTTTAACATGTATACTCGTGTAAGTTCTTCTTCTCCTAGTTACTTGTCAATGTAACGGAGGTCATTTAATCAGATAAGGCAACTTGATGATAACATAGCCCTGGCGGCAAAGTTATATACGACACATTTATCTGATGAAATACCATACACGCCGTGATACATCGTCACTTCAAAAAAATGAAATTTATAACTCAGGGTAGAACTGTAGTTATAATAAAGGACACCAATATCTGGTTATAGTCAAACATTTAGATGTACTAGTAAAAGAGTTCGTTTTCATGAATTCAGCAATGAGTCATCAGTTTGTATTGGTATTACGTCACATTTCACCGAACAGCCAAGTATACTACAGTGCTCCTTTAATGGACACATGGATCAAACCATTATATGGGAGGGGTGTTACTAGGACGCACTACGGTCTTCCATTGCCTGTAAAACAAAACCAGTATACTGGTATTCGACATCTAGCACACACACTTCAATCAAGGAGGCAGGTAAATAGAAAGATAGAGTGATTATTTTAGTTTTATACAACTATCATTGTTTTGGGAATTTGGTCATGTTCCAGAGTTCTTTGTGTTTCATCGGGCTTGTGTGACACTGGGACATCAGAAACATGTTACAATGATATGGTAGTAGGAAGTTAGCCACACGTGTGCTATCACGTAGTCTCTGAAACGCAATATATATTCTGTAAACAAAAGTGTGCTCTATATGTAAATTGTATAACACATATTTTGTGACAATTACTGCATAATTATCCCATCTTATCGTTTTGAAACTTCCCCGTGTTCCATTCCAACTAGAATAATGCTCTTATGCCACAAATAATTTCTAGAATTTTGTGTTCAATAATTACCAGATGTCTTGTTAACTTTTAGAACAAAAAATAATTTCAAACAAATCCTATGTTTTTTTTATTATTTAAATGATATTTGCTTATTTTGAAGTGGTTTTGATTTTTATGAGTTTTAACATTATGACTCAGTTTTTTGCGGAACTCGTGTATGACCTTACTGTTCTAGTTACTTGTCGCTGTATCATTTGATCTGATAAGGCAACTTGTTGATAACATAGCCGTTTCTGCAAAGCTATATACGAAAAATTACATACCTTACACGCCGTGATACACGCCGTATTAAGTTTCATACGACTATCATTGTTTGGGGAATCTGGTTATTTTCCAGAGTTATTTTTGTTTGATCGGACTTGGGTGGCACTGAGATATCAGAAGCATATCACAATGTCGAATTAAAAATTACCAAATGGATTAGTAATTAGTGCGGAAAGTCTCACGTTAACAAATACAGATTTATTTTCTCAATTTACCCCCCTCGCATCGAGTGCAAACGCCCAAATTCTGCCACTATATAAGTTGCAGAGAATTCGGTCATACCTAGAAACCGTATAGTAGTTATTTGTGTAGCAGCGAATGCCAAATATCACATTAAAGAGTACAGATACCACTTGCATATTATTGCGTCCGAGCCGTTATTCAAGCGAGAATCCTCGTTCGAGCCGTTATTCAAGCGAGAATCCTCGTCCGAGCCGTTATTCAAGCGAGAATCCTCGTCCGAGCCGTTATTCAAGCGAGAATCCTCGTACGAGCCGTTATTCAAGCGAGAATCTTCGTCCGAGCCGTTATTCAAGCGAGGATCCTCGTCCGAGACGTTATTCAAGCGAGATTCCTCGTCCGAGCCGTTATTCAAGCGAGGATCCTCGTCCGAGACGTTGTTCAAGCGAGGATCCTCGTCCGAGATGTTATTCAAGCGAGAATCCTCGTCCGAGCTGTTATTCAAGCGAGAATCCTCGTCCGAGTCGTTATTCGAGCGAGAAGCCTTTTTATCACGTAATAATTAACATGCCTCTACTTCAATATAATTCCGCAAAAATTCAATAAATGCGCAGTTATAGCTCGAAAATTAAAAAAAAACGTGGTACATGTATGTTCGTCGTTGATGCTTGTATTTCAGTTACGTGAAAAACGTTCACAGCAAACTACATAAAAAAAACAAGCTGACTGACAAGCACCGTAGTGAACTTTGCTATTCGTACACATTTGTGAAAACATTGAACTTCGCTGAGTCACACACATTCTTGTATGTATGTTCGTGCATGAATTTCAACCACTGCCCAGTTATTGTATGATAACAGGGCTGCACGTGGTACCAATCGACCAATAAGAACGCGGTGTTTCAATAATAGACGGCATATGGTATTTATTTACCCTGCTTTACCTACTAGACACTTTTAATCTTACAGATTGCAATGATGAATTTTAAAAGTACAGTGACCATATTAGGTAAGCTGTTTAGAAAAAGATATTTAAAGATGTATTTTGTTTATAGCGAGTAATACAGATATATGGGACAGATATTGTATATTTATTTTATGTTATGAAACGAAACTGTTTTTTATAACGTGGCCTTTATTTTATTCATTACAGCAACCGTCGCCTTCATCGGCGTTAATCACGCCGCCAACGGTCTATCGTGCTACTCATGCATAGGCGTTGTGTTATCCTTGGACTCATGTTTGAATAACTTTGAAAATTTCAAAGAAGACTGCCCAACGACATTAGTAAACCCAAGATGTCATGTACGTATACAATGTTATGATACACATTCTTGATAAAAATGTACATTTGACAGAATTTCATGACATGTGTAGCACTCTTGAAATTACGACTAATATATTTCAATATTACGCAACTTTGTCAGATCATGTGTTATTACCATAGAAACCAATGCAAACGAAATATACATGTTGCTATTGATCATCACATTGATACAAACACGTGGTGTGTTTGTAGAAGTGGAGCCAGTGGTCCGGATACACACCAACAAAGTGAAACCTTTAGTATGTTAATATTTAATCGAATTTAAGTCAAGTTTGCGAAGCTTAGATTTAGTAAATGGGAATGTATGGTTCAATTTACATTAATATAATTGAACCATACCTTCCCCCGTTACTAAACGTAAGCTTCGCAAACATTTCTATGTTCAGTCACGGGATATTCAACTTTTATATAATTAAACTTAATTAAAACGCAATTCTACGTTGTATTGCATTGTAATTGAGTTTAATTAAACTCCAATTAAAACGCAACCCTACATAGGAACGCGTTTTAATCGAGTTGTTATCGTATCGATGTTAAAAGTTAATTCAACTACATGTATATAGAAAGTTAATCCAATTTGTGGCACTACAACTACGGTGACACTTGTATGCGTACATTTCAATCATTTCTGTACATACAGGTAACACGTGTTGACGTTGATGGCGAAGTAGAGGCAATTTTTCGTGGATGCGTGGAATATTCAACCTGTGTGAATGGATGTAGAAGTACAGACGATTTGGACGACAACTTGGGTCTAGGTAAATACCATTGTGTATTTACATGTACGATTTGAGAGTTTAACAACGATAAATATTTTTAATGTGTATGTAAGGTTAAAATCTAGCGAGAATTATAGACACAACTTTGAACAAAATACATTTGGAAAGCTAATGACTCTCAACTCATTAGTAAAGTAAATTTTAAAGACAAACATATGTCTTATAAAATGACAAAACTACCCACGTGGTCTGATTGAGACCAAAGGAAATTTTATAATAAATCAGATTATTAAATTGAATAATTAAACCAGAAACCGGTAATAAATGATATATTGTCTTTGTGTGGAACATAGTATTCTGTTTTAAACTCTATCACTGAATTTTTGCGTTTTTTAGCTTTTCATTTTCCTCTGCCTATTTTGCTTATTTTTTAACACCTGTATCTATTCCACTAGATCCATGAAATCTAGACCCTCTGAAACCCTATTTCCTGCATTTTGAGGGACAAGAAAGGCATTTCTCTTCAAGTGTGTCGCATCAACACAAATACACAAAGAATAACAGCTTGATTTGGGGGGGGGGGGCGACGCACCCCAAATTTTGTCACAAGGACGACTGCACTAGATATTGCTTGGGTGTATTCTCAAGTAAACGACTAGTTAGTAAAAAACATTTTTAAACTCTCAGTTTCAGATATGTAGACGAAATGCATGATGCGACAGAACAAATGAAATAAGGGAGAACCCGTAATTGATTATATAGAAAAGATACATTGATATGTTCCATAGCACACTGGCCACTTTTGAATCGACAAATTTTCAAAATGCTTTCAACTAAGATTCTCATTAAATAAAACGAAAAACATAAGTTCGGGCACCCGAATTTTTTTTTACTTTTTTGTTGTACGCGTCATTTCCGAAACAATCCATAAAGTATATTATCGTATGTGTAGAGTACCTACACTTTATGTGAAAACTTGCATGTTTTAACATGTTGACATACACAATAAATTGTACTATTAGAAAATAACATTTAATTGTCGACACATGTTTTTTTAAAATTTACTAATACAATGTTGCATTATATAATTATGCCACTAAAAGAACTCAGTGTGTAATTAAAGTATATGAAATAGAAATATGGAATATTTAAAATTTAGAAAAACAAAAGTTTAAATAAAAAAACTGCTGACTAACAAATCTCTGCAATGCCGTCCACAGTATTGACGTTTATAATACTAGCCGGAAACACTTATTAAAGCAAACGAAACAAATCTTTGGTTTGCAGTATGTGATTTGATTTTCCAAAGCACCTATGCAATAAGTTTAAAGGGCGACAGTCGTCGTGCCGCGTCCTGTTCGATATGGGACTCATAGCGATGTATACAACGCGTGTAAAATACATTGTTTATTTACATGAAATTCGAACACGCGCTGCGCGACGACCACCGCGCTTTAATATAAATCTGATAGTTGATTTTTCAGAATAAAATCAGAAGATTGTCTAATTTGTGCAAATTTAGCTCAGTAATTTTTAAGGATTTTAACTCACAAAAAATTAGATCATTCGCAGTACAAATTCGCGAACATGTCTTCATTCAAACAAACAACTTAAGTAAATACTTAGAATATATAATCGAATGTAGAAGGGCATTCACGAGCAACCAAATATAAAAACAAAGGAATAACACTCGCAACTCGGCATCCGTTACGCCATTTAGCATTGCCCAGCTTTACAATGATTTGTTTCTGTTTCTGAGATGTTGGCATTTATAGTTTGGGCTTTGAGAGAAAGAGTGAAATTTTATTGATTGTTGGTTGTTTTATTTATTCGTTTATTTCCAGATCTCAATGGCGAGGCTTGCAATGATTGCTGTGACACGGACTACTGCAATACTGGAAACGGTGCGATCACTCAAACATTGGGTACCATCATGTATCTGGTTTTGGCTGCCAAGGTACTCAACACAGTCATTGTATTATATTAGGAAATATTGATAGTTTCTGTCGCGCAATATACGTACAACACATATGTAATCATAGTTTTTGTAATAGCTTCCATAATGTATGTATTCGAAGACCCAAATGTCACCATATTATTTTGAATAAACGTAATCCGAAAACAATATAAATGTTGGCCTGTTTAAATGAACTATTAAAGGGTCGTCACCTGCGCACGCGCGGGAATTGAGTCCTAAGTAACGATAACAACACACGCTAAGAACGCAAAGACTCTTGGATAGACGCATGTTTGTAAACAATGACACGCTATGGCCTCCTGACGCATGAGCAGGTGACGACTCCACCGCTTCAATGTAGCGCATCTCATAAATTTGGTATGTGAAACACTCCCTAAAATATTGACGATTTGATTTACGAATATACAAATAGTCACAAAAATAACGAGTAAAGCTGTACAAAGCATCAAGGGTTCCAAATCTTACAATTTGAATAATCGTTAAAAAAGACCAAAGTATACTATAAATACGCTTGTAAACAATGGGGATTATTTCCTTTCAAGTCTCGCTGTTAGTAGTAAACAGCTCAATCCATGCTCCGGTAGCGTCGTATTTTCTGCAACTTACAGGTCGATTACGTCCCACCAAAATGGATATCCTCGGGGGCGGAGCTACGTCACGGACGTTCTACGTTGCTAAGACGCGCACCACTGTACCGCGTATTTCTATGGGCTTTGTGCGCGCTGCTGTGGAACGCCGGTGGAGCCGGTGAAAACTCGAGAAAACAACACCAACTCAACTTTGAAGTAATTCTGAACAACCAAATTCATATATGTTACACACGTAGGGCTAATCTTGTTACACTGTTCAGGGGACTCTCAACAACCATCGCAAAGTACCGTTTTCTGCGAGTTTTTGGTCTTTGTTTTCACCGCGAGGGTTGCCAGGCGGTAGAAAATGCCCGGATGTCCGCCCGAGGATACGTGACTATGACTATCACAGTAGGGATCATATGTTGAACCAGAGGTACATTACTTGGGGTTTGCAACTCGCATAGTACTGTATGGTGACATCATGTCAAGATCCCATTCAAGTCTCTTCTCGTAGATAGCGAGACTGAGGCTACGACCTTCTGACATGACACATATCAATGTTCAAGGTTTGTAATGAAAAAATAAAACTTTTCTTGTCACTATCATAGTGAAAAATGTAATACATCGAAAAAGTACAGAAAATATAGTTATCGTAATCCGTCATATCGTGGGCAGCTATTTTGATCCACCTGGACATCCCAGTATCCTAGTTACCTCGGGCATGCTCATACGCATTTTTCTGAGTTGGAACGCTTATGCGAGAGCGAGATTGTGACGGGATCTTGGTATCATGTCACCGTAGTTACAAACCCCAAGTAATGTACCTCTGGTTGAATTTATGACAATAAATAGTGTACGAGTTGAGATTTTGAAAAACAGGAACCGGTTAAAATATGCGCTTCTATAATTGAATAATGGCATGGGTCGTTGAACTGCTGAAACAGGGTGCGCCATCTTTTCTTCACACACATTTAGATAGTTGCTAAATGTATTTCTCATTATATCACATAGCGGATTCAACAACTAATGAAACACTCGTACTCGCAAATTTAAAACGTCACCACAGAGAGTACTAGTCAGAATTATCTCTAGTTGTTTTTGAAAGAAATACTGTGTTTAAAATTATTTACGGTTATGTTCAGAGTGTGTGTGGGTGGTGATTTAACCCAACATCGTTGTTGAGTTCTTGTTTCTTAGGGACGACGTCAAAAGATCGATGTCGGATAAACAACTTAATTCCTTTAGTTTTTTTCCAAACCCCCCACCCCCCACTGAAACTTAATTGATAAATATTGGTCATGGCGTCAGACTACATTCACCATTAAATACAAATTGATAATCGGACAGTAGTATTGCATAGCAGTTGGTTGTCGGGTGGGTGTAAAAAGAGTTTACAAATGCACCTCATTTGACGCACAGATTTACACTCGAACCAAACCATTTTTCTGTTTGTTTTTTTTT